TGTAACAGAACATGGGAAATTTTTGCACAACAGATCCTGTACATAGAATTGGTATCTTCTGAACAGACAGCGTAAAACTAGCTCAGTGATGCTTTAAAACCGGTCTTAAAATCGGGTTCAATCATGCAATGATTTAACATAATTCTGCACCAACTTACGATGGAAATTCCAGTCCCCAATTTTGGTCATAAACTGTGGACTGTCAGTAGAGTTTAACAATTGCCATTTCTGCAGCTGGTTTGTAGCGATACTCTACAACTGCACCAACTTACTATGGAATTACAGCCACAACTCGAGGTCTTACAAGAAATAGTATAGGTAGCTACAACGGCACCAACTTATGGTGAAAATTCCAATCCCAATAGTGGTTGTAGGCCAAAGACTATCAGAAAAATTCCCCAGTTCTGCAGCTGGTGGAGAGAATGCAGTTATTGATAGCAATAGCAATAGCACTTAGACTTATATACTGCTTTATAGTGTGTTTTAGCCCCCTCTAAGCAGCTTACAGAGTCAGCCTCTTGCCCCCAACTATCTGGGTCCTCATTTTACCCACCTGGGAAGGAAGGATGGAAGGCTGAGTCAACCTGGAGCCTGGTGGGATTTGAACTGCCAAATTGCAGGCAGCCAGCAGTCAGCAGAAGGAGCCTGCAGTACTGCACTCTGACCACTCCACTGCGCCACCGTGGCTCATACCTTCAGTCATTCCAACTTAGGATAGAAATTGCATTCCTGATGGTGGTTGTAAGTCAAGAGCTTGTTGCACGGTTGCTATTTCTGCAGCTGGGTGGAGAGAATTCTAGCACCGATTCCTTCTCTTCCCCTCTGGTTTCCAGGGCTAAAGTTCTTGCGGGGAAATGCATCAAGGTTTGTAGAGGGCCTCGTGGTGTGTTTTCCCATGTGCTGTTGCTTTTCTCTCTGACGGATCCCGTGGAGGAGGAAGACGCCGGAAGTGGTGGCCAAAGACAACTTTCTACGGTACTCATGGTCAACATGGGCCGGACCATCTTCCCCACTTACACCGTCAACCGGAAAACGCCCATATTTCAAGATCGGGATGATTTCCTTAGGTAGGGAAAAAAAAAAATCAATCTAGGTTTGTCTATGGAGACTCTCATTCTTCCAGGCTATGACTGACCCAAAAGTGCTTTCCCCACCCACCCACTCACCCTTCAAAAGGCCAACTGGACTTCGTTTCTTTCTTGAAGACGTTTCGCTTCTCATCCAAGAAGCTTCTTCAGTTGTGACTGGGTTCTAGGTTTTAATCTGGGCGTTCTAGGTTACTCTTGTTTCTTCCTGACATGGATTTCTCTTTTTTTTCCATTGAGAAACTCCAGTCAATATATTTTCATTCTCTTCTTTTTGTGTGCGCAACCATCCTCTAAGAAATGAATGACATGAATGACGTTAGGTGTAAACACACACACACACACACACACTGTGTCCTAACCACAGACAATCCTCCCAACTTTTTTCAAAGCCCACGAGGTAGGTTTTGTTTTAAGGGGCTCATAGCAGGGAGCATTTTTAAAAAAAATTGGGTTTGTTGTTAGTCGTTCTTGCGTCTGATTATGTGCCAGTGAGATATTTATAAGCAGTCCTTGGTTACTGACTGCCCAGTTTAGCCACCCAAATTATGGTGATGTTCAAAAAAGTTTATGATCAGTTCTTGTACTAATGGCTGCCATGATGTCCCTGTGATGACTTGGTCAAAATTGGCCGACTTGCACATTTATGACAGTGCAAGCTTCATAGCCGACTTCTAACCAGCAGAGTCAATGGGGAAACCAGCGGGAAGTCGTGAGTTGCAATCCCGTCATGTTGCCCTTAACCCGTGTGATTCACTTAATGTCCATGGTGGAAGTGAGGTTGTGATGAGTGTCGCGGTCATCTGCTGTCTCACTTAACAGCTGCATCCTTTAGCAATGGAGGTGCCGGTTCCAATTGAGGTCATTGACCGAGGACTACCTCTTCCCATCGCTGTCAGATTTCCAAGTGATGAAATAAATTTAAAAAGAAAAGAACAAAGTCCGTCTTCCGAAACAAATTCTTTTATTTAGGGAAGCATCAAATTGGCAAAGTCCATGGTAATTCTGGATCTGACACAACCCGGAATTACCCCACAATATTACAAGTTAGAAACAAGCCCCAAAAGTCACATTCTCCAATAGAAGTAATTCAACGTTGCTTGATGTCATAAGCACAGACAGATCATTTCCCACGGGAAGAAGAATCACCTAGCCTAAACAACTCTACTTCCACTCCTCCCCACTTAGGAATGTGGCGAGCTCGAAATCCTTTCCCCCATGACTGCCACAGAGAAAGTAAGAAAAAGACTACATACTAAGGCTAACTAAAATGGCTACACTTATGTCCATTTCGGGCTAGACAGTAGCATTACTTGTGATAGGATAAGGTGGGGGAAACAATCATCTTCAGAACGAGTTGCAATGACCAATTTTCATTTCTCCCTAGGTATGCTGCCGCTGTGCACACCTCTAATGATATTTCCGTGGCAATGACCGGTGGGAAGTGGGAAGAGGCGCGCTGCTTGTACGAGGCCGCAAAAGCATCTTGGCAGGAGCTGACAGGACACCCTTCCCTCAGGTGTGTGGATGGAGGGATGGAGAAGATTCCCCCACTGGAACGGGATGTGGGAATGGACGTGGCGGGGGAGAGAGGCTGCCAGAGGAACAGCGCGATAAGAGAAGACGTGGCCCTGAGCTGCATAACAGGAAGGGAAAGAAACTCCAGAGAGGAACCTCCCTAACTCCTCAGACTGTAAAAGAGACCAAAGGAGATTGGCACTATCAGAGTTGCAAGGTTGACGTCAGCCTTCTGACGAGCAGCAGCAGCAGCGTGGTGGTGGCCTAGTGATGAAGGCGCTCGCCTCCCACTCAGAAGGTTGAGAGTTCAATCCTAGGTCCCGGCAGATGTTTCTCAGGGAGCAAAGAAAAAATATCTGCTGTGAACTCCGCTTAGGTGTTGGGAAAGGCATCCGGCCAGTAAATGCTCAGCTCCATTCAGTTGCCCCGAATTAAGGGATTGCAGGGTCGTAAAAAGGGAATTTTTATGTCAATTTTTCTCACCTAGAAAGACAGATGAGCCAGCCCTACTTTATTGTAAGGCTACCTTGACAGAGTCTTGCAAGCTTGGTAGATTAGAAATGGGAGATGACGGAAAGAAGGAAATTTTGATCAACTCTCAGAGAGAGAGAAAATAAAGTATAAACGTACTTATAACTGCTGGTAAGATAGAAATCCACTTCCCTCCCCTCTTTTCCATTTCTTTAATATATATCTATACTGTATACTGTATCCTATACGGCCCAGAGATTTGGGGTGCAGTCAGCCATGATCTGGCAAAGAAGATTGACTTCTGGGTTTTCTCTCGCAGCCGTCACCGAGCCCTCCCAGAATACCTGCGGCGTTTCACTGTGGGATGGTTGTACACACGGATCCTGTCGCAGGGGGTAGAGATCCTGCAGAGGCTTCACCTGTACCAGGTAACAGATCTCTTCAGAAGATCGGCAGCTTCTTGTTATCCCGAGGGCTTCATGGTAGATCGCAAGGTGGCCTCCTGTCCAAGGAGAGACGAGCTTTGAGCTTGGTTTCCTGAGCCAGCCCATGGTGAACCATCGGCTCGCTTAACAAGAGAGCCCTTCATTTTACGACGATAGCATTCACTGAACCACCTCTTCAAAAAAAGCTCACAAAATCAGCCTGGTCCCCTTATTGGCTTGTTTTTATGACCATTGCAACTTAAAACTCTGATGGGCAGTTTCAAGACTCTAATCTTCTGGCTGAATAGAGAGACAAGCAGTGCAACACTACAAAGGCTTCCACGCAAAGTCCACTTATTGGATTGAATTAGGCATCCTCAAATATAACTCACAGTTATGTTGAGATTCATCTAACATCCAATGTTTGCCACAATAGTTGCCTCCATAGTGTGAAAAGATGGTTATCTTCATCCCATAGTGTTATAGCAAAGGAAATCTCCCTTTTCAATGCTGAGTCCAGGTAAGAATGCCCAAAAAACTCCCCCAGCCCAACCAGAGATCCAATCAGTGACCAATCAGGATTACAGATGTGACCACGTGACATGAACTATGTCTCCCAAGAGGCGTTAACTACATTTCCCATGAAGCATTCCCTTAAGGGGACAGCTCTCATTCCCAAACTAACTATATACTGTCTAACCAGCGCAGGCAGGCTCCATTATGGTCATAAGCCAAAGGACTTGCCTGTAGCGTCAATCTTTTCTTCCTTCCTTTTTTTCCTCTTTCTTTTCAGCAGCATAGAAAGCATTTTGATAACTTCTCGCCCTCTGGAGGTGCGCGGTGTGTCTCGTGGCCAAGAGAACCATTTTATAGATGTCTCACCATCTTCTGCCTCCTTCACATCCTCTGCAAACTATTAATGATGGTCTATTTTTAAGCTTCGCTCTTCCCCCGCTGCTATTTTTAATGCTTGCTGTTTCCACGTCTTCACGAGCGTCTCCAAGAATTGTCCTTCTGTTCTCCTGCTTTCTGCATGACAGCCTACCACAAGGTGTTGCATGGCCACGCAACGTCCATTGCTGAGTCAGGAGGCTGGCCACGATACTGGAGTTTTCGGCAACCTTCTCATGAGCTTCTCTGTCCCCTGGCTAGGAAGCTGTGGAGCAGCTGCAAGAACTTCTGGCTCAGCAAGACTACTGTGTGGACAGCCGAGGACAATGGTGGGAGCGTCTAGTTCTGAACTTTCACCAGCACTTGAAAGACACCAAGAAGGTAGCGTGCCTGGTGTGGTCTACGTGGTTATGGTGTCCTGGCAGACCAGGATGGGTTCTCCACAGGGGTGGGATTCTACTGGTTCGGGCGAACCAGATGTTAATGTCACAGCTGGTTCACTGAACTGGTATTTCAACCAACCAGTTGGCTCTGCCCCTCCAGCCCCTCCCCTCCCAGGCGTCTCCATGAGGTCCATTTTTGACGCAGGTAAGAGCAGGGTCTTCATGGAGGCTCTGGGAGGGGGAAAAACGGGCCTTCTGGAAGTCCGGGAACGGGCCTGTTTCTGGCTTCCGGTGGGCCTCCAGTGGCTGAGGGAGGCTGTTTTCCTCCTCCCAGAGACCCTAAGGAGGCCTCTGGACCCTTGGAAAGGCAAAACATGGCCTCCCCTGGGCTGTGGAGGCCCACCAGAAGCCGGAAACAGGACATTCCGGTAGGCCCCATCCATGCCCACCCAGCAACCGGGCAGAGGGAACTGGTTGCTGGGATTTTTGTATCCCGCCCCCGGTTCTCCAACGTTGGTCTTCCCAACAGCCTTCTTGTAGAAGACCTCCTTCTTCTGCATAAGAATCTTTCTGCCTGGTACTTGAGGAAATGACCCAAGTGCCTTGGTTCTGTTTTGCTAACCATCTCTCTGCAATGGCTGGTTGGGTGCTAGACTGTTGCGTCCCTCCGGAAAGGCCTCCTGGATCCCTTCCTTCGCCCAGGCCACCACCTTGGTCTCTCCCAGCGTGTCCAAAGGATGAAAGACACCCCAGCCTGCCAGAAGTTCAAGCATCTCCTTCTCGACCTGCCTCTTCTTTCGGTGGATGATGTTACCCATGTAAGTACGCCAACTTCTAACAAGGAATGGCGCAAATGTTTGTCGATGCGCTTCCTCCTGGGACCACTGCCTAACCCACTCTCTTTTCCCCCTCCGGTTGTTAACGCTGGTTGGGGAAACTTCTGGGGAACTTGGGGAGGGAGAAGACATCCCTGGTCTTGCTTTATCCCCTTAACTAGGATTCTTCCTTGACTTAGGTTACCATCAAAGGAAAACTCTGCCCGCAGACCGGGATGGGCAAATCCATGTTTATCCGGGAGAGTCAAACGGAGGGAGCGGAACCCTTGACGGTGGTTTGCTCCGTTGAGGAACTGGCTTTAGCCCACTACAAGCAGCAGGGCTTTGATCAAGGTCAGCTTCTTCCAGCTGCTTTGCTTTTTCCCCCATTTTGTTTTGCTTGGTTGCACTGCGGGGAGAATTAGGAAGGACCTCTGCTGATTCCCGCTCGCAAGAAGCTCACAGGGGTTTAAAAAAAAGAAGAAGAAAAAGTGACTTTTCTGATTAATTTCTCCAAGCATCACTTTGGAGGTAGCAATGGAGGAGCTGGGCGAGGAACAGGAGAGTTCTAGGTCTCCCTTCGTGAAAGGGCCTGTGAGAATGACCTTGGGAGTAGGAAGAATCACGGATCGGAAGGGACTTTGGAAGTCTCCTGGTCCAATTCAGGAGACAATTGGTTTCCAATCTCTTCTTGGAAGCCCAGTGAGAAGAGCTACAGACTTGGCAAGGCTGGCAAGGTTTAAGTCAAGGCGTAAGGCAATGTTGGGATGGCGATAAATAGGGCTGAATTGTTTTGGGGTTGGAACGTAAAACTATTCCAATTTTTTTTGTTCTTGTGACTTCCACTGCGGCTGTTCCCCAGGCATCCACGGCGAAGGGTCGACCTTCACCACCCTCTACGGCCTCCTGATGTGGGACATCCTTTTCATGGATGGCGTCCCTGATGTCTTTAGGAACTCATACCAGGTAAGCTTTGGGTTCAGAATGGGTAAAGAGGTAGAATATCTGTAGCTCAGGGTTGAATGGTGGGGTCCCTGGCGCTCTCTGAGCTTGGCGGTTTTCTTGCAGACATTTCAACACCCTGCTAGGTAATATCTTCAGTGCTGAAGGGAGGTGGGTTGGAGGGGGAGAGGAAGAGGACTGTGGAGTCCTTGGTGCTCTCTGAGCTCGGTTGCTTTCTTGCAAATGTTTCATGACCCAAATGGGTAACAACTTCAATTCTAGAAGGAGTGGGGTTTGCACTCCTTCCAGCGCTGATGATGTGACCTAGCTGGGTCATGAAACGTCTGTAAGAACAGTTCAACCCCGAGCTACAAATACTCTCTTCTGTCAAAAGTGTCTTTATGTGTGGGAGTTTTCAGTGGAATTATGTCCCCTGTCCCAAGGCTTTTCCCCTGGACCTGCACACAAGCAGTTTTTACAAGAATCGCCAGTCGGCCATTGAGGCAAAGTTGCAGTCGCTGCACGATGCATCAACGGAGACCCTCCAGAAGTGGGTGGGCGAAGTGTGGGAAGCCCAGGAGGGAAAAGCATCAGTGCTGATCAGTTGGGACCGCTTCTCTTCCCTCCAGCAAGCCCAGGTGAGTGGGGAACAACACCTCCTCCACGGAGCCCGTACTTTGCAGATGCTCAAAGTGCCAGATTCCCGACTAGCCTCTCCAGAGATGGTTCTGGAAACTGTGTGGAGCCCTGCTGCCAAAAAGGATGGACTGGGGTACTCTGGGAACTGAAGTCTATCCACTTCTGATAGTTAAGACTCTCTGATTACCTGATAGATAAGTTGCTGAGACTATAAGCCGTCCTTTGCCTATAGTTTTATAAGCACGGCGGTGCAGTGGTCAGAGTGCAGTACTGCAGGCTACTTCTGCTGACTGCCAGCTGACTGCAATTGGGCAGTTCAGTCCTTCACCAGGATCCAGGTCGACTCAGCTTTCCTTCCTTCCGATGTGGGTCAAATGAGGACCCAGATTGTTGGGGGTCAAGAGGCTGACTTTGTACACCGCTTAGAAAGGGCTGTCAAAAGAGGGTATATAATCTAAGGGCGATTGCTATTTGCATCCCACCAAGGAAATTATGGCTAACCTGGCACATGAAAAGAAATAAGGAGAAGCTTTATTACTAAGTAGTCTTTTAAGTTTCTCGAAGGGGCTTCTTGGAAACTTCTCAGCTCCCTTCAGGACCGGAGGAGGAGGAGGAGGAGGGAATGTACAATAGCGTACAAAAGGACTTTTGCAAAGCGGAGGGAAAGGATCACCTCGCTTTTCAGAGCAAAGCCCAGAAACAGAACACGATTCCCATGTGGCTTTGGAGGGGGCCTTCCTGAGGTTTAAAAAAACCCCACCCACCCCTTGTTTTGCAGAGCCTGGTCTGCTGCTTAGGGGGCCCCTTTCTGAGTGGCGTTTGCCGGCGACTCTCCCAGGACTTGCGCCATTGCAGGGGGGGCCTCCCAGATCTTGTCGTCTGGAAGGCGGAACGCGGGCAATTTAAGGTACCACCCCAGATTGATTCTTGAGTTTTATTTATTTTTGAATTTTTTTCATTGCCACCTACTCGCGCAAGGCGAGAACTTACGACGAGACACTTTGCAGACGGTTCAAAGCCCCAACAGACCTCTCCAGGCGGGCGGGTGTGTGTGTGGTGTACCTGGTTCCCCAAGTTTATATATGGCTGCCTCTGCCCCTCCTGTGGTCACGACTGCGTTTCGGGGGCTCGGCAACGGCCCACTTTTAAGGCTGTTTGCGGTGTTGTGTGACCGTGTTTGGGTATATTTTGCTATTTTTTTGGCGGGGGGGGAGGGTTTTACTAAAGAGAAGGCACTGCTTTGCTCGTTCAAATGGTGTAATGATTTGCACACTCTCTTCTGCCTCGTGTCCCCCCCTCCTCCCCCCCCACCCAACTTTTCAGCTGGTAGAAGTCAAGGGCCCCGGCGACCGCCTCTCGCACAAGCAGACGGTGTGGCTGGACAAGCTGCAGAAGTTGGGTGCGTCGGTCGAAGTTTGTCACGTGGAGGCCGTGGGGTCTAAAAGTCAGCGCCTGGGCTGAAGGGGGGCCGGGGGGGTAAAGGGGTGTTTCTGGGATCCAGTGCAATAAAAAAAATCTTCCGAGAACAGCGATGGGATTTTTCCCTTCGGTGCCTCTTTCGGATCTGCTTTGGCTTTGCTTCCAATTTTCCATCTTGTGTGCTTGCACCAAAGACACATTTCGGGCTGCTGCGTTTCATAACCACCACTGGGGGGGCGGAGGATGGGGGGAATTGGGCCCAGTCATATGGCGACCTGCTTAATGACTAACTCCAGGCTCAGTTATGGTCGTAAGTCAAGGACTAACTTTCATGCTCCTTTGCTGGGCGCCGTCTTTTCTTCAAATCCGAAGAGCAACACAAAAAGAGCCCGAGACGAGGAGAGGAAGAGGGCAGAGGTTGCTTTTTTTATTAAGTCTCGTCTATTTTGCAATTTCATACATCATTATGGCAGGTGGAAGGAGGTTCTCCTTGTCTGTTCTGCTGTGCTTAGGCAGACCCTCGCTCAGGAACACCAAAACTCAGTGGACTTCAACTCCCAGAATTCCCCAGGCAGCCATTTCTCTCATGCTGGCTGTGGAATTCTGGGAGTTGGTCTGTTAGTCTTAAAAGTTGGCAAGGATGCACACCTCTCGTCTCTTCCAAAAGCATAAAAATGGGATTTCTCTCTCCAGTCCCGGTCAGAGAATTCCAATTTTCCTGATGGTTTGGTTCACTTTTCCTTTAAAAAAAAAAAAAGTCAAGCATATTTGAACTTTTAAAATACCTTTTTTTTTTTTTTTTGGAAAAGAGCCAGAATTTAACAAGAAGGACATGCAAAAAGCACCAGAATTGAAAGGACGGACCTTCTGCCAGGGTGAAACACATCTTTAGGATTGCTGATATGCCTAAGAAAATTACACACCCACGGTAAAAACATACCCACAGTACACTTTCTGGCGCGCAGCAGCTAAAATCTACTTGACGGTATCAAAAGTGATGTGGGGTTTTTTTATTATTATTATTTTTACACAGTTTAATTACAAGCAACCACCCTCCTTCAGTTCAAACAGCCCCCTTGCTATTAAACAAATGTACAAAAATAACCGTCTCTTCTTTTGCACAGTTACAAAAACTTCACTGTGGAAAGTACCTGCTTTGAAAAAAAAAAATAAAGTCAAGATATGGGGTCTGCTCGCTGGTGTTGGGGGAGGAATTCCCCACCTCACCCCTACTTTTAAGTTCACAAACGCCATCGAGTTGGCAGAAGACAAGAGCCAGGTTGACCAAGAGACCATTCGTGGTCTGGAAGCAGTTGGTTCTTGTTTTTCAAGTCTACGATGGGCTTTAAAATCTTCTCGAGAGAAACTCTATACTATCTTCTGGAGCTCCCTAACTATTCCTCCTTGGGTGGGGGGGAAAGGACCCTTTTGTCCTGTCCAGGATGAAGACCAAGGAGCAGCCAGCCATCCATCCATCCATCCACCCACCTCAACCAACCAACCAACCTTTCTCCTCTTCTCCACATCACCACCGCACGGCACACAAAGGCACTGGTAGAGCTACTGCAATCGGGTGGTCAGTCTGGGAAGTTTTGAGAGTTGGGCCGTCACATCTGGACGACATCAGAGAAGGCCCAGTTTGTGCCCAGAAAAAGGACTTGGATTTGTGGAGGCTTCAGAGGTTGCTAAGCCAAACAACTTCTTAGCCCAGGGTTTCCCAACCATGAAACTTTTAAGGTGTGCAGATGTCAACTTCCAGAAGTTGGCTTGGGAATTGTTGACGTCCACGTGTCTTAAAAGTTGTGTGGCTGGGAAGCCTGGTTTTAGAAATCCTCATCAGCACCATCCCATGGGGAAAAGAGATCATTTAGACCACCTGAAAGGCCAACAGGTCCCCAAGGCTGAATCCCTCACAACTTCCCTTCATTTCTGATCACCATATTCACTTCAAAGAGGTATTTTCACTTAAGACTAATAAAGATTCTATGGCCTGAGACCCTCATGTCAGGTTCTCCTGCTAAGCACGATTACTTAGTAAATAATGCTTATATTTCACCAGGCCTCTTTCCTGCCAAATTAACTGATCTACTGACCTGGCTAACCACAGGCCTACCTATACCTGCTTCACATACTACCATCCCACAAAGCCATTTTCTTCCCATTTGATCAGGCAACTATTTCAAAGGCAAAGTTCTAACATCCCACCAGGATTTTAAAAAAAAAGTCACACATTACAAAAATGCACAATTAAAAAAACTCCTGTTAAAAAGAGGATCAGGCGTACAAGACACATCTCAAAAAAAGTTAAATCACCTTAACGTAGTTACTGGGTTGTTTTTTTGTTTTTTTTTTGCAAAATATATATACTCGTCCCGCTTTCCTTAGCAAAATTTGATACACCTGAAAGGCCGTTAAGACTATGAAGCGTTAAGTAGAGAATCCGTATAAGAAAGTCACCTTAGTAAAAAGGAATTGATTTCTCCCACCCCTATGAAAAAATCCTGAACGCAAGGAACTCAACCGTAGGAAAATTAAGCTTTTGCTCCATTGACGATGATTAAAGATTTCAGTTATGTAATTAATTTACTGGAAGGATCAGCAACTGGGTGACCCACTTGTAGAAGCTTGGGGGGTGGGGTGGAAGGAGAAGAGATCGTAACGGACTTGATAACGGGACCCCAATTCAACAACGGTCAGTGAGACAGACTGCATATGGCACGGTCGATCCCCAGATTGTCCCACGCAGGAAGGGGGTCAATCCGGATCCCTTCCTTCCTTGTCCCAAACAGCAGAACTGTAACTATGTGCTATTTGTCCACTGCTGGATCAACACCAGTATCTCAAACATTGGAGAACCTCTGGGTAGGTCATCTTCTCCCAATGGGGCTGAACATAAGCCATGTTCCAGAGAGCAATCCATTTCACACACAGGCGAGGTTTCCATGGTTCCCTGACTAGGCCTTTCTGAAGGCACCTTTCCGCTACAGAATGGCAGAAAACCCATGTCCACCTGCTCAAGACAAAACACATGACTGGATGTCCCTGGCGTGTCGAGATTTGCCCCCAATCCTCTTAAAATTTCCCCCCATGCTGCACACCTCCCCACCTCAGATTCTGCGATCGAGAGCCCTGAAAGAGTTCAACCAACCATCTTGGTTGAATTCAACCTAAATCATTCTTGGCGACTTGAAGACGGGTGAACTTCAACCCCCAGCCATTCTGGGAGTTTGAAGTCCCACCATCTTAAAAAGTAGCCAAGGTTCATAAACACTGAACTAAACTGTTTAAAAAAAAAGGGGGAGTCCATAACTACGTATAAAAAACAGTATTTCCTTCCAAGAATGCTGATTCTAACCCAATCAAGGCCCATTCACAGTCAGTAATACTCAATAATTTGTCAGTTCCTGGCTAGAGGATTATAAATCCTTAAAGCACCTCCAGAAATCACTATGGAGACTGGAAACAGGCTACATCATCATCAAAATGCAGAATGTTAGCTTATCAAATGAATGTAACTGAGTTCCGGGCAAATACTAACGTCAATGCAAGAAAAGGCACTTTTAAGACTAGTGTTTAAAAAAATGTCATTTTTGCATACATGCTGGTAGAACGGTCTCAAACCATGGTGCCTGGAGCCAATTTGGGCAATTGTTTCTCTTTAATCTTTAACCAGATTAAAGCCGTAAGATTTTTTTCCAGCTAGTTTTCTTTTGTTATTTCTTGATTTTAATCCGCTAAGAGACACCAACCGTCCCACCAGCAACAATTCATTGGCAGCGTACGCAATTCGGGAGGCAGATTTTTGTAAACTACAAGGCAACCTCAAAGCCTAAATAAATAAATAGAGAGCTGAGCCAAACGTAACCATGATGACCAAAAAGGGAGGCGTAAAGCGAAATATAATTTACTCCAATGGAAGGGTAAAAGTTCTGGCTGAAATTCACAGCAATGAGAAATATGAAATCATCATGGGATTGTTCTACCACCTGAGGGGGGGAAATATATATATATATATATATATATATATATATCCCCACCCCCTCTGGTGGTAGAACAATCTATATTGCTCTAGTATTTCGCACTGGTTAGTCACCCTGCAAATCTCTCGCTTTTTTTCTTTTCTTTGCTATTTCTCTTCCTTCATCCCTCTTGTCAAGCTGCAGGCTTCAGCCAGCAACTCCAAAAGAGGAAACCTCACAAAACAGAAAAGCCCAACTTTTGAGGCCTGGGTGTTATCAGGAGGGTGAATCAACTTCCCAAAGCACTTGCCCTATCAACCAAGACAGCAGGAAGAATCATGGGTGAAACTAAGACAAGACGATCAACCGATCGGCTGCAACGTTACAACAAAACAAAAATAATAATAATAATAATATTCTGTGCATTATGAAAACACAAGGATTTTGCCTTTAAATACTTTTGTGCAAAAACATCAACGTGGTCTATAAAGTTAGGGCAGCTTCTGGCTAGCGGTGTCGGATTAAGACCGCCGTTTCTTCTTCGTTCGCTCCCAGGGTTAGTCTTCATTGGCCAGGGTCTCAGTGGACAACCAGATTTTGGCACCGCTTAAGAATTTGCTCAGGGGCGTGCCCAGGATGCTACGCCGACAAAGGTTGCCCACAGGGGAGAATGGAAAAGCAGAAGAGAGGAAGTCTGGCGTGGTGGGACTGTCATTGAGCCTGTGGGCTCGGAAGTAGAGGCGACCCTGGTCCTGCTCGGATGCGTTGGCCAACAATGGCGGGCTGCCGTTGTGTTGCCTCAAGCTCTGGTTCAAGGACTCCACCTCGTCGGCCAACAGAGAGATTTTGTGGAAGGCTGTGATGAAACCCCCGTGCTTGATCTGGGCCTCGGGGATCCAACGGAAGTAGCAGAGTTTCCAGAGTTTGATCTGTGTCCCGGAGAGGCGGGGTAGGATCACACCGTGAAGGTCCGCTGGCTTGGAGAACCAGTCTCGGAAATACTGTTCCATGCCGTTGGTCGCGTTGTCCATGTGATGAAGGAAGTCGGGCTTCAGCTTGAGGATCAGGGAGTTTCTTCGGGGAAAGAAGTCTTGTTCGTTGATGATGCCGTTCTTGAGGGAAGACGGGAAGCCTCTGAGGGTTGAGCTGTAGTTCTTCTGGGGAACGAAACGGGGAATAAAACGTTTCCCATTGTTCACTGCACTGGATTATGATGGATTCGTGTTAAGTGAATCCAGAAATAAAATTAAGGCAACTGCAGATATGACCCAAGGGTATCTAGTGCAGAATTCTGCATGTCCACTGCAGGATACCTCTAAGAACATATTGGGGATCGCACATGATTGTACAGGATCTGGCAGGAAAGGCCAAGATTCATTTGGTGTAAGGAGAGGCAGACTGTAATTCTTAACCATGGCAACTTTAAGACATGAGGACTTCAATTCCCAGAATTCCCCAGCCAGCATGGGGTTGAGCATTACTGCCATAGAGTAAGGAAGAGATATATGATGCGTGAAACACGCCTAGAGACTGCAACAGGCAGATAATATTACGAAGAGGCTCAAATGGACACCTCCCTAATTCACAGAAGTATAAGAGGGGGGTTGTTATGACGGCCAACCTCAATCCAAATAATCTCAGCCTCCCTGTGGAGCTGGTTTTCTGATCTTCCCAGTGATTCCCACACAGACCACTCCAGATGTGTGGGTGTTTGTGTGTGGGTGTCATAGGAAGGAAATGCTTGAAAGAGACTCGCCTAAATTGGTGTCCTGTAAGTCGGTCACTGGGCCCCATTCTTACCTTTGACCGTTTGAAGGTTTTCACGGTCCCGTTGCACACACATGGTGTGCTCTTGCCAATGTACAGGGGGTTGTGAAAGAGCAGGCGATCCCGTGGGGTGAGCTGAAGGGACCAATCCCAAACGGAAGGAAATTTCAGGCCTTTCTCATCACCCAGCTGAATATTTTTGCTGATGGCAAATTCCTGGAAGCAACCAAATGAAAAGATGTCAAACGAAGCAACCAAGACCCCACTTCCTTGAGTTGAGATTCAAGTCTACTCTAAGACCGGTAAAGGTTAAAAAAAAATCAAAGACCAGCAACCTCGCAATTCCGCAACACAAAGGATTCTGTGCCTCACACGCTACCCTTTTCTTGGAGGTGTAAACCACACAGTGAAAAAGCTCCACTGAAGTACAACACAACCGCTCAGAGACAACCATCACACCTGTACTACCCTGACAGATATTCTCCTGGCTCCAGGTAAGCTGAAGCTCTTCACACACTTCAGTGTTGCCCCATGGTTTGACCTTCAAGTGCCCCCCGCCTTCTTAAATTGGCCGGTTGTGTGTTGCACCCACCGTGCTTTGCTTCACTCTCTGATGCGGAGAATTGAAGAGGAAAGTACCAAACAGTGAGATCCGTGTGCTGTCGTACAATATGGTCAAGTAGACTTCGGAAAACTCAAAGGCCGATGGGTACTGCTCAAGCAGCTGCCAGACACAGTCAAGGAACACCAGGAACAAAGGAGACTAGAGGGAGGAGGAGACAACTGGTTAGATAAACAAAACCTCTGGAGGAGCCCGGATGGATTGCCAAGCAATTAAAAAGCTGCTTCAAGTTGAGTTCGATTCTAGTGACTTTATGGACTCAACCGTGAGTTGGCTTCCCGTGGCCGTTTTAATGGGGTCCTTTGTCCCCAACAGCTGTAGGATTTCTTACTGGTTTCCATCCAAGTATGAAGCAGGTTTGGCTCTCCAATATATATATATATATTAGTGGGAAGATCAAGGAAGTTTCGCTAAGTTCCACCTTAAAAGTCTCGGTCCAACCATTTGCCTGGACTCACAAGGGCTCAAGCTGTGATGAAGGTGGTCAATGCCCACTGGGTTTGTCCCCTGCTCCTCTGTGTCCCTTGTCCACTCTCCCCTCTTCAACTAATCACAGAATCGTGATGTGGAGAAATGCCTAACTAGCTACCTTCTTCCAGTTGGGACTTTTTTTTCATCCTGTTACCTCTTTGTCAGATTTCTTCAAGTGATTGCATCGGTCCAGAAACGGGTGTCCCGCCATGACCCACTCCTTCTGAATCAGGCTCTGAAATCCAGCGATGGTCCGAAAATGGGGATCCAACATCACTTGGACAAGAGATGCCACACAGCAGCTTAGGTCTCGCCCTTCTTCCTCTGTGGAAGGAAGGATGTGTTTTTAACCCAAAGCTGATTTCCTGTGTTGTATAACTTAACCGGAGCCTCTGCTCGACAGGTGAGTCTCGAGAAATATAAGCATCCATTGCAGAGTATCAAGTTTCATGGACATCAATAGAAACCAGCTTCAAGTGCCTACCCAACTCATCCAAAGGTCAACCGTAGGCAATTAATCTGGTTTAACGTGTCTCTATTACTAGATGAATGTTGGATGAGAGAAGAACAGAGTTCTGTTTTATGGCATGGAGTAAAGATAAGTCTATGGGAAAGAACTGGAAGAATTAATTCAGGTTATGGCGTCAACGCTCCTTTAAGTAATTATTTCTATTATAAATGCTTAATTAAGGCCATATAAAGATTTGGCATGAACGTCAACACTGTTTTTCAAAACAGCTTACCTTGCAAAATTACCGAAACGTGTTTGCTGTCCAGCATGTAGACCAGTTCTGCAGAAAGCTTCAGGAAGATTCTAGATCGAGAGATCCCAAAAATCTAGATTACCTTAGATGAACGTACAGGTTAATTCTCATGCAAAATTCCCAGAAATGTTGGCTTTAATGCCTGGCAATGTTGATTTCCCCCAGAGAGAGATTCGGGTTTTCAGAATTCAGGTCTTCTACAATTGGTGTAGATAAGATTCTGTTTGCAAATCACACAACTCTTTTAACTGACATGGTTTTTTTATGGGAAGTGACCCTCCGGATTCCGACTTCTTTACCTACCTCACGTATTCCAGCCAATGTGAACTATCTAGCAAGGACAGCCACTTCTCCTCTGTTTCTTCAAAAGGCTCTGAGACAAAAGACATGAATCATTTTCAAATACCAGCATTATAGAGTCTCTTTTGAAAAAAAAAAAAATAGTCCAAGCACAAGAGGTTCCACGTTGCTTAACCATGAATAAGGAGAAGAGAAGGACGCGTTCTTTAAGGCTCGCGTGGCAATTCCTCCAGAACTTTCGACTAAACCTATGGGTGGCCCCACCAAATATACGGTAAATATTAACCAGATTAATTCCCCACCCCCACCCCCCCAAAAAATAAATAAATAATGCTGCATATAGATATTTAAAGCTTTAGGCTGAGATGGGAGCAAATCTGAACGTTCATCTCCCAGATGACCTGAGTGGAAATGATACTGCAATCCTCCTGCGCTGACATTCTCCGGGTCTTTAGAATTAAAAATAATCTGGGGGTATATATTTAGAAACACCGAAGAAGCCTTTTCTTCTTCTTCTTCTTATCCCACGACCTGATACGATTAGAGAGGGGTTGCTACCAGATGCTGCGCCACGTTAGTTCAATCCTCCTTTTTGGACTCGTCTTTGAGAAGTTTAGTATATTTGACATGTTTTACATCCGCTCGTCTCAGATTCTCTGCCCCTCTGGCAACGCGAGGACCGACCCAGGTTTGAGGGCCTTACCATTCACACATAACTGCTTCAGTTTGAGGAAAGCCGTCTGGATTTCTTGAATACTTGGCAGGCATTTATCCAAGTCGGATTTGTAGACGTCACTCCTCTGCGGATGACTTCTGGTGACAGCATTGCAAATCCTACGAAGGGAAAAAAAGAAGAGAAATCGTACCCAGGGCATTCTTAGAAGTGTCTTAGGATGGCTTCACCCCACAGCTGGCCCCAAAGCCCCTTCTCAGCCCAGAATACAGCTGCTTCCCTTCCCCTCCCCAAGCTGCTTCCTGTGGGCAAGGACACACCCAACTACAGACTCAAAAATTACCCTGCTAGGAAGCACCAGATGGCCGCAGGAGGAGGCGGAAAAGAGAAATGGCCCCATCTCACCATACTTCAGAACTCTGACTCAACTATCTGGCCTTTCTGTGAAGCCTTGACAATGGGAAACAGGGTTAAATGGTTTATGAGGACATCCCTTGAAAATTAATAAACCAGTTCTCCTCAATCTGACGCTCTACAACCCAACGACATATTTGCAATTTTCACCACCGGCTACCTAGAGGGAGATGGTGCCTTTAAGAGGACCCATCCCCTTAAAGCCAAAGGAACACAAGATCATAGGGCTGGAAGCAGGGGTGGGATGCTCCCAGTTTGCACCTATTCGCTAGAACTGGTTGTTAACATTCTAAGCAGTTCGGAGAACCGGTTGTTAGAAGGAATTACTGGACTAATCCTGTAAGGAAGGCAGGAAGGAAACATTCTGGTGTTGCTTACAGAAACTGCCTCTCCGTTAACCCTTATTCCATTCTTGGCAGGACTAGACTTCCTGTCTCAGGAACTTCTCTGGATTTTTTCCCCTCCTTTGCTGGTACTTTGCTTGCGTGGAGCCACCATTCAAAGTTACAATGGCACTGAAAAAAGTGACTTATGTCCATTTTTCACACTTACGACTGTTGCAGCACCCCCACAATCATGAGAGGCCAGGCAAGGAGATGCGTGCCTCGATGTGAGTGATATTGAGTTGACCATGCCCAGCCAATAACATGACCACCAAGCCATGTCCACCCAGTTACATGACCACCAAACTGCGCCCACCAACTAAGCCACGCTTACAGAACCGGTTGTTAAAAATTGGAATCCCACCAATGGCTGGAAGGGACGTTGGAAGTCCAACCCCCTGCTCAAGGCAGGAGATCGTAACCCATCCCGGCCAATGGTTGACCTCGCTTTCATTTTGTCTCTCTGCTTTCTCAGCTTGGGCAGAAGGTTAGATTGGAAACAAGATAAACGAATGCAACAATCCGTACCGTTGGTCTATTTTTCGTTGCTGTAGGCTGTCCTTGATGTGGGCCACTCTCACCAGAGCGTTCCCGTTGGAATGGTTCCAACACCACATCTAGGAAACCAAGGTAGAGGTGGTTAAGTTCCATACATCACAAGACACCCGAAGGAAGTCAACAGAGTTTTAAGACCCCATCTTCTTTTTCAACTGGTTGCACCGGGCTCAAAAAGTGCCCAAGGGGTGCTGAAAGTGGGCTTAATAACAGGCAAAGAGGAGCGACCTGGATTGGTTTTGGGGGGTCTCTATCCTTTTTGCTAATGTTTCATACCTCTCTCTCTCTCTCTCTCTCTCTCTCTCCCTCCCTCTGTCCCTCCATCTATCCATCCCAACACAGTCTTCCTAGTTGGACTCGGAACAGGAGAAGAGTTAATCTATGGCTGGATTTCTCAACCTTGTTTGCTTGAAGATGAGTGGATTTCAACTCCCAGAATTCCCCAGCCAGCATAGGAATTCTGGGAGTTGAAGTCCACCCATGTTCAAACTGCCTAGGGTGTCAAAACATCAAGAACCTGACTGCATCCTTTCCAACTAACAGACTTAATAAGCTTAGGCCTTTTAAAATTTTTTAGAAAAGGTACTACCACACTTCTGGGTTTTTTTGGGGGGATCCCAACATACACTATGGGGGGCGGGAAAGCACAGGGCCCCCCCCTTGCCAAAAAGAAGACCAACTCATGAGACCAGCCTCCACTTCTTTCATATGTCTGATAATACACCACCCTCCCTTCTGTCTCTTTTAACCCTTAAGAAGGGAAGGGCCATCACATCCTCCTCGTGCTTACTGGCATCCGTCGTCCCGTGAAGGCGTGAGAATATAGCTTCAGGTCTTGATCCGCCAGCGAGGAAGGCACCACAAAATATTCTGGAAGACTTCAGAAAGGAAACAGGACGGTCATTGGAATCCCGAGATCTTAAAAACAAGGCGGTGGCGTCCTCCACTTCGCACAGATCCTGCCACTGTGTTCTAAAGATTTACCTGGTGGATATCATGTAGCCTTCGTTGACTGAACAGACCCGCCACTCGGATGCTCCCGTCCTCTTGATCTCCCTGTCCCAGTCTGAGAACGTTTCAAACAAGGGAGTCTGATGGTAAAGGCTATAACCACCTCTTCCTCCTCCTCCTCCTCCTCCTCCTCCAGGGTCTATTCCATTCACCTTTTTTGCTGGAAGAAATAAAGCCAGGTTGAGTATTTTTCATTTCAGAGTGGAAAAGCACAGAGGCACGGGATTTTTAAAGAAAAAAACCGAGAGAGATCAACATTCGATGTTGGTGATTTTTAACAGAGGAGAAGATGAACTGAAATACTATAAACCACAGTGAAGTGGGTTTTTTTTTTTTAATTGCAGTGATCACCAGCCTGTTTCCCTAATGACTTAACTGTGGTCAAGTTCTCCTGGTTTGGGGCTGTGTCCTTTTTTGTGGCTGTGCAGGTCAGTTTGTCCGTCTGCTCTCAAAGGATTTTGATAGGACAAAACTTCTCCCATAGCTTCATAGCAGAACCAGCATGGCTTCTCTTAAAAGAAAAAGTTTCCCCCACTTTTTCTACAATATCTGCGTCTAATGAAGAGTAAAAGTAACTTGGGGACATTCAAGTCACCTCATTCCCAAGCTCCAGAGATTATCCTGGAGGTCTTCAGTAAAGAAGTCCTTGAAGTAATAAAACTTGCATCCAGCCCAAAGGCATTTCTAGAAAATTTAACTAACTGATAGGTTGACCACTAAGTGGAGATGGTTGCCACCCAACTTAGCAGGAATAGCCGAGATCTGGGCAGAAAGTGGTTGAGTCACCTAATGGTTCTCCAGAATTAAACCTGGGAGTATCCTCTGTGGGGCACTTCTGGACCAGAAGAGAAGCCAATCAGTAAGGAAGGGAGAAGGACTTATTCAGATGTCCTCAAGACACATAAACAGAAAGAACTGATACGTCTGTGACCATCAAACATCCCCTGTGGAGTTGGATTCTCATTGATGATATGACCTAGCTGGATCATGAAACATCTGCAAGAAAACCACCAAGCTCAGAGAACTCCACAAACTTTCAACTTTGAGCTACAAGGATTAAATCATTAAATCTTCCTCTGTGTTATTAAATCTTTAATTTAATCTATTCAATCTTCCTCTGTGTGACTTTTTATCAGATCAGGTGAGTATAGAAAGAAGAATGTCCACGGCACAAGACCACGGGGCTCCTTGGCACCAGCGAATACTTTCTGCCCAAGTTAATATCCAGGATCCAAGTTACACAGCCCCCACACCTGGTGTCTCCTTTACCTGGATTGTGGTATTTCTTGCCCACATATTCAAATGCAAAGAGCAGCTGGAGGTCTGCCGGTTGTGAGTAGTGTGCTATTGCAAGGCACACCTAAAAGTGGAGGAAGAAAAAGAGACATGATCTTCAGTTGAGGACACGCAAGCCAGAACCCCCTACACGTTATTTTTACGGCCAGAAATTACAAAGAAGGGGGCAGAAAAACAATCGCCAAAGTCAGCAGAAAAGGGTGGCCTGTAGGAATGCCTGAAACTTTGATTTCCTTCCCCACACCCTGCAAAAAAAAAAAAAAAGGTCTAACTTGTTGGCTGTGGATGCTCACTAGCGCAACTGCACACACAGTAAGGCCTTTGTCATGGGTTTTAATGGATGCCGCTTCTTATTAGTGGCCAAGACTGCCAATGGCTTCCATTGTATGTCGTGGAAAAGGAAAAAAGGTCAACATTTTTTTCTGTCTACCGGGAGAAAATATTTCACGGATTAATCATGTTCTTGGTTTTTTTTTTTTTTTTTGAAGCGCTTAGGATGCAAAAAAAGGGAAGTTTGGAAAAAAAAATCTTGGGCTGAAAGTGACCGCTTCAACTTTCAGTTCCTACTTTCTGAGAATTCAGCAACCCAGATGAGACAAAATGAGAATCCGGGTTGGGGTTGGGTTTTTTTTTTTTAAAAAAAAATCATCCCTACAGGAGATCCAAAGGAAAAATGGTGCTTTCTGTGTCCCACACCACTCAGCCAGATTCTCTTTGGAGAACAACCTCCTGTGTTTTCATTTCTGTTCTGAAGGGTGTTCATGCCATCACCTGCCTCTTTCTGGAAGATTAGAACCAGGCTTAGATTTGATATCTCATTAACCCTGGTCTATTCGATAAGTCAACAATGTGGCCATGTTAAGACATTAAGCCCAAATCAAACCAACCATGTCCTGTTTTCAACCAAGTTTTCAAAGCCTGGAACCTGAGTGGCATCAACAGAACCCCAGGACCCAAGAGAACCGGGGTAAGCTGAAATGTAGACGTGGTATGGAAAGCTGAGAAGATGCCTCTGGCATGGACCTCGTCTTCTAGCTAAAAATATCCTGCAGCTGATCGCCAAAGCTGCTTTCAAGTTGCTCCTCGGGCAGATGGTTGTTAAGAAGGATCAGTGTCACGTTGATCTTATTCTGACGGCTCAAAAAACCAGCTGTGTGCTGGGAAAAATGACCGAGCCAAAAGCTGCTAAGATGTCTTGGAGGATTAGAGAAGGGTCAAAGCCTACTGTTTTCGTTCCCTCAGATGAAAAAAATACGCATTTCCTGCATTGATTTAACTCATAAGGAAACGTGGGAACTGCCAAGACTTATCTGTCTGCCAAGGAACTAACAAGCTGGTCAACCCATGAAGATATCGAACTAATCTTGACGTGGGAAAAAATCCAAAATATACCAGCTAGCCAAGGACATGTGACACTTGACTTTGGCCCAGATTTGTCAGCTAATCATCCACCATGTTGGAGTTATTTCTCACTCCTTGACACGCGCACAGTCTTCCGTGTTGGTGTGTGCACAAGTTCACAGGTATGGGATTGGTGCAAAAGCAGCCAAAGGAACACAACCCCAATTATTTCCACTGCACGTGTTGTGTGTTTAAACTCAACTAACGTTAGCCAGGGTCAATATTTGGAAACACCGTGAGGAACACGCTGAAAAGTCTCTTTGTGTTCTATGCTTCCATTTTGTGAGAGGGAAAAAAAAAATCTATTTTAGATCACTAAATAAAACCAACTCAGTCCATGTCTGCTTCAGGAGGTTAAAATATTTACAGTTTCTACCAGCTGGAGGGGAAAAAAACCCATCCTTGGTTAAACACGCAGCTGTACAAATTTAAACCAAGGTGCCAGCTAGTGGCACATGCCACACTCAATGGTCTTCTTGTTCTGTTTTTCCCTCCCTTTCTTTATTTTTTAACCTAAGCTCGGAGGTTTTGTATACGTGCAGAAGAAGGTTGAACCATCTGCCAGGAAAATTCTTGACTCCAGCCAGTTAGAAGCTACTTGTGAATTTTCACATCTGTTTTTTTGAGGAACCATGGGTGAGAAGACAGTCAATCCTTATTGCAGATTGGAGTTATTTAGTGATTATTTATTAATTAAATTTCTACTATTCGACAAATGGATTCAATGCTTCTCCTTCCCGCTGTTAACAGTTTTCAAAAACGTCTCCTTCGTTCAACACTTCCCTCTGCCTGTGATTTCAACTCTAGATATTTGAGATCCGGTGGTACCTTTTTAGCACTTTCCGGGCCAGCTTCATCAAAACGAAAACGGACAATGCGAAAGTCTTTGCAGTAAATAATTAATTCCGTTGGATTAAACTTCAGCTTTTGGTTGGGGCCTAAGACTTTCTGCTTCCTCTTGGTATCGTTCACTGCGAGAGAGGAGGGAAGAGGCGCAAGAGATTATCACTTTTGTTTAAAACGAAGACCTGCAAAGCTCATGCCTTGTATAAAGGCTGTTAATGTGGATTTTCGTTTCTGCAATTTATGAAACGCTCTCAATTCCTAATGAGCAGAGAGGTTTCGCAACTCGTTCGTCCTTTACCTGTGACGATTTGCTCTACACACGTCAAGGCAACATCGTGTTCTCCCAGGAGGAGATTTTTGTACTGGAATTTCTGAAATAGAAGAGATGCAATCAGGATACACACATGAACTATATTGGTTTTAGTTGTGTCTTGCCGGAGAAAGGACAAAATTAGCTTGGTTTTGGATTTTTTTTTTAAGGGGTGGGGTGTTATTAAAAAAAATAAAATAAAAATAAATTATAGTTTATATACAGGCAGTCGTCGACTTGCAACAATTCATTGAGTGGCCGAAGTCACAACAGCACTGAAAAAAGTGACTTATGACTGTTTTTCACACTTATGACCATTGCAGCCACCGTGTTCCTAACTTAAACAGTTGCAGCGATCCACTTAATGATGGCAAGAAAGGTCGAAAAATCAGGCAAAATTCACTGAACCATCGTCTCGCTCAGCGACAAAAAAATGTCCAGCTCAATTGTGGACGTAATTTGGGGCCTACCTGTAATTCAGAGTGTCACAAATATTAGGATTTAAATTTGAAGAGAAAAGGTGCCGTTCTTGCGAGATCACCCATCTCTTATTCCTGGCTGTTTGGACTCGCAACTAGCCTTTAAATGCAGCTGCCCAGATGCTGGCAGATTGCAGACTTCCCATCTCAAATCTCAACCTGACACTGGGATTCTTTCCAAAGCCATTCGAAAACACTTCCTTTGGTTCCATTCTTATTTATATTAACAAGTGTTTCTTTAACTTTAGCATCCGTACCCGTATTGCGAAGATTTGTAAGATATTTCCAAAAAAAACCCCAACCTATGCAGAGTCCTAAGGGACTTTGAAGGTCTTCAAGTCCAACCCCCTTGCCCCAGCGACTTATATATTTCTAAAGATTCCCTTTCTCTTTTCTTTTTTTCTTTTCTTTTTTAAAAGATAGTGCTTGCTTGCTTTTCCTTCATATACCCCCCCACCCACCTCCCAAAAGAAAGAACCTGAATAACTATCTGCCTTTGCTAAACTTCCACAGAGCAAATTCAGGGAAATGAGGTAACTAGACCAGGCAGCAGAACTTGCAAAATGTAGGTATTTTTCTTCGGGTTGTTTCCCTGTGCTGTATTGCAAAAGGAGAATTGCACAGCAGGACTTAAAAGCCCGAGTTCAAAGGTGGTTTCCCCTGTTTGGCTACGAAAGGAAATCTCCCGGCCACGTGTGAGTATTCCACAGAGGGTTCTTACAAGACAGACCGGGGAAGCCCCCAACGTGGCCGGAGCTGCCAAGTTAAACCCAAAGGTGCTTTTTCAACTTGACTTTTGTGTGTTTTTTCCCCACCCTTGAAAACGTTTTGCTTTGCATCCAAGAAGCTTCTTCAGTTCTGGCTGGAAGGCCCTGTGAGGTCGCTGGTAGCCTTAAGATTCTGGACTGTTCTTCAGTTCTGTCTGAAGACGCTTCTTGGATGAGAAGCGAAACGTCTTCCAGGAGAGAAAAAAAGCCAAGACAGTGACAAAAAAATAATAATAAAAAAGAGCGTCTTTGAGACAAGCGTGGCTTGGAGGATTGAGACAATTTTGCCAAGTTAAACCACAGTGTCTGGGCGCTCCTGCTCAGATCGTGGCATCCGACCGACCTGAAGAGGGAGGGTGTCATCTGTGATGAAGGATATCTTGAAGTTGCTGCAGACCAGTTTCCCCCAGAGGTCGTATTGGCTTGTATCCGTTGCGATGCATTTCCTCACAAAGTTCACTTCGTTCACCACAATTTCACCTGCGGAGAGGAAAAGAAAGCTGGTCGGATCCCTGGATGAAACCTTCCAACGAAATCAGCCTTTCTCAATGCCTTTGTGCCATGGGGACCCTCTGAGGATAATCAGTGGACTCCTTCTTTGCAAAAATTGTAGGAAATTAAATGGTGAAAATGGAGGGGTTTTCTTCCCTTATCCTCCCATTTCCCAAGTTCACAGACCCTCTGAAACCCACCCATGGATCTCTAAAGAATCTCCATGGAGCCAAAGCAAAGAACCCCTGAATTAAATTAGCTGAGCTTTGTGACTTCATCTGGGACTTTGCATCCTTTTGAAACTAATTCTGAAGCAATGACTTTCCCTACTAAAAACTTATTTCTAAGAAGCCCAATGTCTAAAGCATGGTCTTCTTTTATTGATTGGTTTTAAATTATTCGTATCATACTGTCCCAAGTTGGACCAATTCTGTTTTCGAAGATAGAAAGTTTTAAAGCTTTTAAGCAACGAAAGCCTCAAATTCAAAGGGAGGAACTTTGGAATAACAAACTTTTTTTTGCTGTTGCTAATGGAACTTCACATCTTCAAGAGAAGATGCAGGTGGCTCAGGCTTTCTTGCAAACCCACTTAGGAATAATTAAACCTTAAAACTCATTTATAAAATGCCAATCCAAAAGAATAGTCCGTTTTAAATATTCTTCGATTTCCCCAACCTCAAACTTAACAGGGACTAAAAAGTGAAAAAAATGCTGTTCAGAAATAATTTAATTCAATCTGAAAGTCTCTATTTGCAGGTATTTGAACAAAATGTCTACTCTAAATTTAGCCACAGACCGGCACCCTTCTCCTTCCGTTTTGCAAGCACACCCTGTTCCAAGCACTGAATGATAATCATGTGCAAATGACTCAAACGGAGATGTCAGAGGCAAAAAAGCTGCATTTGTTTTCCAAGAACCCAACAACACCCAGCAACACAGTTATATCTGCAGAAACCACACCAGAATTAAGAGCCACACAAAAGTCCCCAGGCGAGGCACGGAAATCAAAGCCACAAATACCTAGAACAAAAGATTCACTGGGAATTTTAGAGCTCTGGCTCAGATGCAAATTATTAAGAAGAGCAGGCAGCCTCTGAATTTCATAACACATCGATGTGTTTATTTATTCATTTGGATTTATTACATGTTGCATTCTTTAAAAAAAAAAGAAAAGGAAACAATTTAGCTGGGCAGAGAGCACTGGGGTTTTGCTTCCAGTCATGGTTGCAATGATCGAACACAGATTTGTCCTCAGTTAACACGCGACTTGAGCATTGTGCTTCTCCAGCATCAACCAGGAAATTCCAGAAAGGTCTAACGCAGGAAATATCAACATGTTACCATCTGACATAAAAAGGCTGGAATGCAGAGCTGAGGAGAGTTGAAAAGGGGTGGGGGGATATGGGAACCCTTCGTGGGGCTCATACTTCCTACTAAACTTCACTTACATCATTCACGCTGCCTAAAAGCTTGCATGCTGAAAAGGACCTATAAATATGAGTGCATTTGCATTTTCTGGGTGAAATGAATGAATCTGCCCCAAGCTTTGTACTTTCAGGAAGTGCTAACCGTTTTCCTTGAGGTTGAAGAAGAATAAATGCACTTGTTGATCTGACCCGACCAAGTTACAACAAAGAGCTGACGGAAAAGGAAATTCCAGCCAAAAGAATCTGGCTTCCAAAAAGCCTTCCTTGGGCTGCAGGATTATAAACTTTATATCTGCTTAGCATTTGACAATAGAAGCAACGGGGAGAAAGCCCTTCATTTACCTGACAGCGGAGAACAAGGACCATTATTTTACATAACAATTAAAGACTTCACATTTGTTAATGCTGACTAAATCTGTTAAAATTTTATCTGCTCATTCCTTAAGAAAGCAGAAGGGGAGGATCAATAACAGGTCACTCTTAAAGATTCCCTTCCTGCATTTCAGGTTGATGGTGTACAATTCCATCGTCGATGTTTTGATGGGTAAGTTGCCAACAAAAATATCTGAGGTCTAAAGCACGGCTTAAAGTGCATTTAGTAAGCAATGAGGAGGTAAGGACCTCACATTCTAGGTCAGCTGTCTCCAAACTTGGCAACTTCAACTAGCTGAGGAATTCTGGGAGTTGAAGTCCCAGGGTGGAAGTCTGAACTTTCGGATTTGCAAGATTGATGCCAGCTCTGTCCGGTAAACCAGGCAAGGGAACGCTGATTAGATGAACTAATTCTACTTGATTGCAAGGCTACTGTAAGCGAATCTTGGCATCCTGTGAATTTTAGCCGAAGAACCTGAACACGGGGCAGTCCACTAGGATGATATAACAACAATTATTCGTGTGGAAAATGTGCTTAAAACCGTAACCTTAAAACCCTCCTGCCAATGGAGCTTTGCTGTGATGGCCTCACGGAGATGCCCACCAAATATTCTTGGCCACCTTATGGAAAGAGTTACCTGCAGAAACCTTGAAAAAGCCTGGACCTATTTCAATAACTCCAGATCGAATAGGCTTCACAGAAAGCACTGCAAAGCCAGGAAGGGCATGGTTGTAAGGTGGGAGGAGAGCAACACACACTTGTAACAAGACCAGAATAAGATAAGGATCAGACTTAACTCAAAAGAGGAATTTTTTGCTTTTACGTTGCACAATCATCCAGCATGAGAAGGTCCCCTTTCGGACAACCGAATTTAGGAATATCACTCTCCAGCTCATAACTACCACCCCCCCTCCCCTCTTGTTACGCAAACACATTCCCCGTGGAGGCAATGTTTCTCTAAAAAGTTACATCGGTCCTTTTTAAATTTACGGCCGGCTTAGGATTTTCAAGATAAGGTGCCCCTGTCTGTACAAGATTCCTTTGAGATCTTAGCAGGTCACAATCCAGCCTCTGCTCCCCATCTTCCTATGGCTACTACTAGGAAAGTCCAAGGACGCAGGTAGAGAAACCAAATGTCAATAAATCACAGAGCATCAATGCAGGAGCTCAGCTCTGCTGGTAGCACAATTATTCAGTTGCAGATAACCCAAAAGTCATTTCTATGAATATAAATGGATTGAACTCAGCTATTAAAAGAAGAAAAATCTTTCCTAAATTAGAGAAGTTAAAATTTGATATAATTTGCCTACAAGAAGTACATATTAAAAAACAACGTCAACGATTATTGGTACAACCAAAACGGGGGAAAATTTTTACCTCCTTGACTAACTGTAAGAAAAGAGGAGTGGTCCTGTACATTAAAGAAACTATTGCAGCAAAATTGATTTATACTGATGAAGATGGAAGAGTATTAATGGTTGAAATAGTGGATAACAATATAAAAACACTGCTTGTTGCAATTTATGCTCCGAACGATAAACCAAAAGTCACTCCCCAAATTCAAATCTATGCAAGCATCATCCGTACAAAAAAAAAAAAGGCTAAGCCAGTGTTTCTCCATCTTGGCCACTTGGAAGATGGGTGGACTTCAACTCCCAGAATTCCCCAGCCAGGAACCCAACCCTCATCCTCAACCCGGCTTAGCCTATGGAATTCTTATTCCAACCAACCATGTTAAGAACAATATCTTCAACATTCAATGCCTTCTTCTCGGCTTGGTGAAGTTTAATGTAAGATATCTGTGCGTCAAGCATTTAAAAACAACCCGGGGAAAAAAAAGGCAGCCAATAAATATTGGCAGATATTTCTTAGACCGTCTTTAGTTCCTCCCTGATTCGTAGCAAGCAGCTTCTCCTTCCGCAGTGAGCTTTGGGGATTTTATAACTGAGATAACTGAGCGCTGGAGAAGAGAAAATCCCTCCACTCTGCTCAGTCAGGCTGAAGCAAGCACAATCCTCCTTCGTCCCCGATGGTTATTTGCAGAAATAAAGGTCACAAGCCTGCCAGGCGATTTAATTTTGCACCCAGTGCCAACTAGCAAAGGCGTGAATACCGCTCTCCTTTCTTTGTGAAACTGGGAGAAGCTGTCTGCTCAAAAGCAGGTTTGGCAAATAAATCCCGAATATACCGGTATATCGTTTTAAAAGGACCACTTCTGAAAGCCAGAGGGTCTCCGAAGGAAGAAAAAAACCTGCCCTGGACAGGTGACCTGTTGCAATAGGTAAAGCCCCAAAGGTACAACGTTCCACGCTGGCCATGCAAAGGAAGCAGGAACGTTGTGGTTTGAAAAAGGAGCAACACATTCCGATAAAAAGGAAAACAGGCCCTTAAGGAACAAGCGGAGACTGGGGTGCAAAGCCTGTTTGGACACCTATCTGGAATGTTTACCTGGCAGTAGGACAGGCTCCAGTTTCTTAAGTCGAGGCTCCGGAATTATCTTGTCTTCAGCCTGAAAAACAGGAGGAGAAGGGCAAATGTGCAACCATAAAATAAAATACACAGGTAAGTCCTTGACTTGCAGTCAATTAGTTTAGTGACCATTTGGAGTTAAAAAGAGCACTGAAAAACGGGACCAGTCCTCGCACATACAACTTTTGCTGCATCCCTAGGCATGCGATTTAAAATTGGGGCACTTGGCAACTGGCATTTATGATGCTTGCAGCATCCCAGGGCTACGTGATCGCCAATGGCAACCTCCTTCCAAGCCATCTTCCCACAATAGAAGTCAAGGGGGGCGGGGGGGGAGAGTCAGATTCATTTAATGACGGCCTGATTTACTGGGCTGCTGTGATTTGTCTAATGACCATGGCCATCAAGGTTATTAATGTTGGGCACGACTTAGTCAACCACCTCCTTGCTTAATAACAGAAAATCCGGCTCCAATTGCAGTTGTGTGATGAGGTCTACCTGTGCTGGGCTGGCTGGGAATTTTGGGTGTTAAAGCGGGTTAAGAAACTACTGTAGGAACAAAGCAACAACCGAGTTTAGAAAGCCCCGTAACACTGGAGCATTAAATGACGCATAAAAGTGACCGAGCCGGTTTGAGCCACTGCGGCCTCATCCACTTTCCTTTGTGCCTGTGAACTTTGTGCTGATAGTAGCCCCACTTCTTTTAAAACCAGCCAACTCCATCCAAATGTTTTGGAGTCTAGAGGCTCCCGCAGTAAAGCTTGCTGTTTTATTTACCCTTCAGGCGCCTTCTTTCGTTCTAAAGTACCCTTTCCAAAAACAACTCCTTGGGTTGTTAAAATAATTTAGCTATTTGCACACTTTTGAGCCTGACCATGGAAAGAGTGCCTTTCTGGAAATGAAGACCCTTAATCAAAGGAGCATCCTCGTTTTGCAAAGAGGATTATCAGTTGGATTTTGAACCTCGGGCGAACTCTGTTTGGGCTGACGTTCTCGTGAATTTAAAGAGGTGGAGAAATTAAACAGGAGCTGCAAATCCGAAAGGCCAAACACAAATCTGCTTTCCATGAATTCATTTCATTCGGCGATTATGGCAAAGAAAACCCTCCTTTAATTTTGCAAAGGCACAAAATCCCTCCCAAGCAAACTGTTGGCTCCAAGGTGTGCTTATTCCTCCGATCTTGATTGCAGAAAGTACGACTTCAGCCACAGAGTGGTCCATGCCTGGAATGCACTACCTGACTCTGTTGTTACATCCTCTCTAATGCCCACTCCTTTAACCTCAAAGGATCCACTATGGACCTCACCCCATTCCTAAGGGGTCTGTAAGGGGGCGTGCATAAGCACACCATCGTGCCTCCCGTCTCTGTCCTATCGTCCCCATTTATTTGTACCTATTTCCTATATTCTTACTCATGTTTATACTTATACCTGTTATCTTGTGAGCGATTGACAAACCAGATAAATAAATAAAATAAAAATTAAATAAGAAAGGAAAGAAGGAAGGAAGGGGGAAGGAAGAAGAACAGGGAATTGGAAGGAAGGAAGGAGAGAAAGGGGAGGGAGTGGGAGGAAGGAAGGAAGGAAGGAAGGAAGGAAGGAAGGAAGGAAGGAAGGAAGGAAGGAAGGA